GGATGCTGAGGTCAAGGTTGACGTAGACGCTGACAGGGGTGGGGAGAAGAAGAGAGAGGAGGTGGTAAAAGTGGAGGGGGGCACAAGGGAAATTATGCAAGTGGAGGGCGAAGGGAAGGAAGAGGAAGTTGCCAGGAAGGATCAGCTCGTGAGCGAAGGGAGGACTGAGGAGGGTGAGAAGGAAGGGGGTGGGAGAGAAGGGGAAGAGGAGGAAGGTGTGGAGGACGTGAGGGTTTCAAGAGGAGCGGGTAGAGGAAAGGGAAAAAAGTGGCGGGGGAGGGGGGGGAAGGCAGGTGCAGGAGGGCGGGGGAAGCGGGCTGCAGAGGGGGTGACGGGGGGTGAGGAGAGGGCGGGTGGGGATGTGGATGATGAGGGAGTGCGTGAAGTGGAGATGGTGGGGGGAGAGGGTGATGTGCTGGAGGTTAGTGGGAGTGAGATTGAGGAGGTGAAGGGGAGTGTGGTGGTGGAGAGTGGTGTGGTAGAGTGTAGTGCTTTGGAAGTGGAAGAAAGTGAGGACGTCAAAGAGTGTGGGGAGGTGAAAGAGAGTGAGGAAGTGGAAGGGGATGAGGAGGTGGAGGAGTGTGTGGAAGTGAAGGAGAGTGAGGGAGGGAAAGAGAGTGAGGAAGGAGTGGAAGAGGTGAAGGACCTTACAGTGGAGGATCCAAGTGGTAATCAGCATGCTGCAGAGCGCTCAGGGGAGGTACAGCTGGTGAAGGTGGTACCTGGAGTAGGCAGCAGCGTACAGCCAGTCAACACCAGAGTGCTGAGGTCACACAGCAATAAGGAGTTGTCGAGTGCGGTTGAAAGAGGTGCTGGAGAGTCACACAGGGGAGCAGCAGCGGGTGGAACGGAGAGAGATGGAGGGGTGGGGAAGAAAGCAGGGAGAGTGGAAGATGCGGAGCAGGAGGAAGCTGCAGCTGACGAGGCCATGTGCCAGGTAAGCCATCCCGTGTGGCGTATCAGTGAAGTAAGCAACGTCTAACGTGTAATGTCAATGTGGTGGAGATGATAGATATGAGTACTGGCTCCGAAAGCATCTTTTGTGGGGGAAGTATTTCGATCGAGTGGCTTTTGAGAAGTCTCTAATGTGCCGTTTGCTGCCCCTCGTCATCCCTGCCTTTACCCCCACCATCCCCAGTCGCTCGCATCGTGCCGTTTGCTGCTGCTAATCATAGACGCTCTTCTGAGGGACTTCCACCACCGCCGCCACACGCTGCTCACTACTTGTGAGTGAGCGCATTTCTTCCTTTACTGAGCTGCCCTAAATTTCCGCCACTCACTCACTGCTGCTGCTAATCATGGACGCTCTTCTCAGGGACTTCCACCACCGCCGCCACACACTGCTCATCACCCGTGAGCTGCCTTTCCCCTTGTTGACTTTTGATTCGACTCAAAAGTCAACTTCCACCACCGCCGCTATGCTGCTCATCACTCGTGAGTTGCCTCTCCCTTTTTGAACCGCCCTAACGTCCGCCCTAGCAGTTCACCGCCACTGTCACTTGCTGCTGCTCATGTCCCGTCTCCTCTCATGTCCCGTCTCCTCTCATGTCCCGTCTCCTCTCATGTCCCGTCTCCTCTCATGTCCCGTCTCCTCTCATGTCCCGTCTCCTCTCATGTCCCGTCTCCTCTCAACATCCCTCGCCCCGCCACACCCTCACAATGGGGTGACATGAGATGAGACCGACCCGCAAAGCTCCAATCTCAAATGTTTACATCATCGAAGCTCCAGTCACGCGCGACCATCAGCTGCTGAAGCTCCATCATCGATGCGTGCCCCCACTCTCCTTTGGCGAACCAAGCTGCGAACCTCGACACGTACCTCTTCCTTTCCTCTTTTCTTCCTCTCTTTCTTCCTACTGTATCACACAAGAACCCCCCTTCTCCCCCTTTCCGCACCCCTTCCTGCTTCCCTCATTCACCCCCTTCCTTTCCTAATTGCTTATCTTATATGTGTTGCCATCCCTTGTGATTGAAGAAGGGTTTTGAGACGTCTCAAAACCCTTCTTCAATCACCCCCGTCCTTTCCTAATTGCTTATCTTATATGTGTTGCCATTCCTTGCAATTGCAGCATCTCTTTCCAAGAATCGTCGCGTGGAGTCGATGAAGTCAACGCTGCTCTTCCGATTCCTCCAGGCAAGTCAATCAAGTCAAGTCAGATAGGGGCACTGTGGGATACCCCATACTGTACGTGCGCATGGTAGTCTTGGCTCTCAGTCACGCCTTGGCCTGTTCCCAGGTGACTTTTGAGTAACTCAACAAAAATCAGGGCAGTGTGTGTTACTCAAAAGTCACCTGGGAGCAATGTTATTCCTAAGGAGTGTGTGTTAGTTCTGTTGCTTATACTGCCCCGCGCCTGTTCCCCCTCCGTCTCGCCGTCCTGGCTCTCCTTACCCTGCCGTGCACATGCCAGGGCCAGGGTCCCCAAGGGCTGAGCTGTGGGAGGGCGTGGTGGTCCTCACTCACGCTCTTGCCTCTCCCCCTCCATCCCCCTTTGACGTTGCCTTACCCTGCCGTGCTCATGCCAGGGCCAGGGGCCTCTAGGGCTGGAGCAGCTGTGGGAGAGCGTGGTGGCTCAAGGGTCACTCACGCTCTTGCCTCTTCCCCTCCAGCCCCCTTTGACATTCTCTTACCCTGCCGTGCACATGCCAGGGCCAGGGGCCTCTAGGCCTGGAGCAGCTGTGGGAGAGCGTGGTGGTGCTCACTCTTTTTGAGTCGACTAAAAAATGAGCGTGGTGGCCCTCACTCACGCTCTTGCCTGTCCCCCTCCATCCCCCTTTGACATTCTCTTACCCTGATTTGCACATGCCAGGGCCAGGGGCCTCTAGGGCTGGAGCAGCTGTGGGAGAGCGTGGTGGCTCTTGTGTTTGCATGTGCTGGGGAGGAGGAGGAAGAGGAGGAAGTGGACGAGGAGGAAGAGGAAGAGGAGGAAGTGGAAGAGGGGGAAGAGGAAAAGGATAGCGAGAAGTCAGGCCTGGAGAGTAAGGGAGGGGCGGAGGACAAGGGGGAAGAAAATCATGAGGGGGAGGAGGTTGAAGGGGAGGACGATGACGAGCAAGGGAGAAGGAGAAAGCGTGCTAGGAAAGGAGAGGAGGGCGACAGGGAGGAGGAGCAGCGTGAGAAGGAAAAGGAAGGAGTGAAGGACGAATTGGGTGGTGAAGCGACGGGAGAGAAGTGTCAAAGGGGAGAAGCGGAGGGGAAGGAGGGACAGGAGGGAGTGCAGGCAGCAGTGCAGGGAGAGGTGGAGAAGGAGTTGAAGCGTGAGTGTGTGCGGAGGGCACATGCATGTGTCGCTCCCAATCGCCTGGAGCTGGCTCGAGCAGCTCAGCTGCTGCTTGGTGCTGTGAGTGTCAGAGTGGTGCTGTGAGTCTGAGAGTGTTGCTACTTTCTGGAATTTAACTCTTTAGACTGTGTGAATTGCCCAAATGATGCTGCTTAGTCCCGCTCCTGTACCCTGTGCGAGTATCTGCTGGTGTGATTTCCGTCTCATAACCACCCCTTTGATTTGTGGCATTGTGTGAGCAGACGTTGGATCTGCATGGTATCATAGCGGACAACGATGGGTACCGCAGAGCCAGGAATGAGAAGTGAGCCCCCTGCGTGTTAAAACACTCCACCCCACTGCATGTCCTCACCCCACTGCGAGCCCTCACCCCACTGCGAGCCCTCACCCCACTGCGAGCCCTCACCCCACTGCGAGCCCTCACCCCACTGCGAGCCCTCACCCCACTGCGAGCCCTCACCCCACTGCGAGCCCTCACCCCACTGCGAGCCCTCACCCCACTGCGAGCCCTCACCCCACTGCGAGCCCTCACCCCACTGCGAGCCCTCACCCCACTGCGAGCCCTCACCCCACTGCGAGCCCTCACCCCACTGCGAGCCCTCACCCCACTGCGAGCCCTCACCCCACTGCGAGCCCTCACCCCACTGCGAGCCCTCACCCCACTGCGAGCCCTCACCCCACTGCGAGCCCTCACCCCACTGCGAGCCCTCACCCCACTGCGAGCCCTCACCCCACTGCGAGCCCTCACCCCACTGCGAGCCCTCACCCCACTGCGAGCCCTCACCCCACTGCGAGCCCTCACCCCACTGCGAGCCCTCACCCCACTGCGAGCCCTCACCCCACTGCGAGCCCTCACCCCACTGCAAGCCCTCACCCCACTGCGAGCCCTCACCCCACTGCGAGCCCTCACCCCACTGCGAGCCCTCACCCCACTGCGAGCCCTCACCCCACTGCGAGCCCTCACCCCACTGCGAGCCCTCACCCCACTGCGAGCCCTCACCCCACTGCGAGCCCTCACCCCACTGCGAGCCCTCACCCCACTGCGAGCCCTCACCCCACTGCGAGCCCTCACCCCACTGCGAGCCCTCACCCCACTGCGAGCCCTCACCCCACTGCGAGCCCTCACCCCACTGCGAGCCCTCACCCCACTGCGAGCCCTCACCCCACTGCGATCCCTCACCCCACTGCGAGCCCTCACCCCACTGCGAGCCCTCACCCCACTGCGAGCCCTCACCCCACTGCGAGCCCTCACCCCACTGCGAGCCCTCACCCCACTGCGAGCCCTCACCCCACTGCGAGCCCTCACCCCACTGCAAGCCCTCACCCCACTGCGAGCCCTCACCCCACTGCGAGCCCTCACCCCACTGCGAGCCCTCACCCCACTGCGAGCCCTCACCCCACTGCGAGCCCTCACCCCACTGCGAGCCCTCACCCCACTGCGAGCCCTCACCCCACTGCGAGCCCTCACCCCACTGCGAGCCCTCACCCCTACTGCGAGCCCTCACCCCACTGCGAGCCCTCACCCCACTGCGAGCCCTCACCCCACTGCGAGCCCTCACCCCACTGCGAGCCCTCACCCCACTGCGAGCCCTCACCCCACTGCGAGCCCTCACCCCACTGCGAGCCCTCACCCCACTGCGAGCCCTCACCCCACTGCGAGCCCTCACCCCACTGCGAGCCCTCACCCCACTGCGAGCCCTCACCCCACTGCGAGCCCTCACCCCACTGCGAGCCCTCACCCCACTGTGAGCCCTCACCCCACTGCGAGCCCTCACCCCACTGCGAGCCCTCACCCCACTGCGAGCCCTCACCCCACTGCGAGCCCTCACCCCACTGCGAGCCCTCACCCCACTGCGAGCCCTCACCCCACTGCGAGCCCTCACCCCACTGCGAGCCCTCACCCCTGTGAGCACCTCTGCCGACTCAATCGGTGCTCTCCCTTGTTTGCTCCACCACCTGCGTGCACGGCATCTCACCTCCTCCCTCCTCCCGCATGGTTGCATGCATGGCATCTCGCATGGTTCCATGCATGGCATCTCGCATGGTTGCATGTATGGCATCTCGCATGGTTGCATGCATGGCATCTCGCATGGTTGCATGCATGGCATCTCGCATGGTTGCATGCATGGCATCTCGCATGGTTGCATGCATGGCATCTCGCAGGGAGGCACTGGAGGATCGACTGGTGAGGCTCTTCGCGTTGGAGCCCAGCGTTGCCAAGAAGAGCTTCTTCCTGCAGGTGGGGAGGGTGCATGTGCACTGATATGTCATGGCATGTTGATGCTCATTCGAAGCACACAACCCTTGAAATTCCAACTGTTATGATCTGCTTCATCACAGCATGTTGGCATCTGTTTCATCATTACATTTTGTCATCAACCTCATCCATCCTGACGCCTCCACATAATCGTGGTGGTTGCTGCTGTGCTGCATGTGCCACCCCATGCGTTGCCCGCCCCATGCCTTCACCCATCAGACCATGGTGGATCCATGTCACAAGTATCATCTCATCGTTCTCCTCTTTGAGTCGACTCAAAAAGTCACTTTGCTGTGCTACATGTGCCTTGCTGCCGTGCTGTGCCGCTCCATGCCATTACCCATCAGACCATGGTGGATCCGTGCCACAAGTATCATCTCATCATTCTCCTCTTCTCTCGCTTCGGCCCTGTTGTGAGTCCTTAAGGTGTAATGCCAGGTGTATGTATCCCCATCAAGCACAACCCCGTTAGATGTTTCATGAACACCATCAGGTGTAACGCACCATTTGTAACTCCTCTGAATACACCAACATGTTCCTGCTATTTTGGGCCATTGAATTAACTCTCCCAATCCTGGATATTAATTATACTCTAGCCCTGTGCCCTGCACTCACTGCCACTACTGCACCCACCGCCACCCAACCTCACCCACCGCCACCCACTGCACCCTCTACCACCCACCGCCCACCCATCGCCACACACGAGCAGAAGCTGAGGGCGGCACTGGCAGCAGACCCCAGAGGGGTGGGGGTGGGCAGGACAAGCCTGGCTGCGCTCCTGCAGCACCTGGGGTGCAGCAACGTGGCTCAGCTCTCCAAAGGCTCACAGATCAAACGAGACCTGCTGGCCGTGCTGCTGTGCCATGCCTGCCAGGTGCGTGCCTGCCAGCCAGTCTCTGAAGAAGATTCAGTATCTGCTTTGCGTCACATGCTCTCTCGAGCATCCGCAACCCCATATACCCACACCACACATTCATGTACATCTCTGTTCATGCACATGCCATAGGGCTCACGGACTGCTGCCTTTCTGCGCTGCTCCTCCATCATCACACGTCCACATCTTGCCATCACAATCTCAGCCTCCTCATCTCAACCTTCACGCTGCCTGCCAGCCACACCCATTCCGCTTTCCGCAGTAAGCATTCATACGGTACATTTGTCTCCACGCAACACGGATATGCGTTGCTGTTTCCCAGGCGTACTTTGACATCAACCCCAACGCTATATTTGAGTCGCTGCAAGCACAGAAGCCAACTGCAGGGGGGAAGAGGCCGAGCAGGAAGAAGGCTGCACAAGTACCGGTAGCGGAGGAGACCGCACTACAAGAGGCAGCATCAGCAGCACCAATGTCCATATGCGACATGATAGCTGATGCATCATGCGCATGTCCCTTCACGTAAGTTTCTGTTCCTTTGTTACCCCTTTTCAGCTGTTGAGATCTGCATATTGAGGGTTAGGGGTGAAATGTTGACATCTTCAATGTTCTGGCAGGGGTGAAATGTCAACATTGGGACAACGCTGCCTCACTGCTCTTGATACATTCACGAAGAGCTTACAATAACAGCTGTACAAGCCCTGTGGCAACTCTATATTCACTTGTAAGTTGTAACAGTTTTATCGCAAACACTGAAGATTGGCACTGGTGTATATAACTCCTCTCCAATGACTGGAGGTGTCCAGGCAATGGCAGCTCCATGGCTGGTTTCAGCATTCACATGACGATGCCTTGGTGGCCCGTGCAGCATTCACATCAATTGTGTCTGGCAAGTAGCTGTCAGCACATCACAGGGGGTGGAGGAAATAAAGAAGAGGGCCAGACGGGAAGGAACATTGGAAAGACCAATGGATGGCAACCTGCAAATCTTTGCAAAACAGGGCAAGAGCAGCTGAAGTTCGCTTGCTAGTGATCAAGAAAACCTGGGCAACAACACAAGATCGCAAGACCACAAAACGGACACGCGGGCACTCACAAGTCCTCCTCGGTTTCATTCTTGAGCGCGTTTCTAGCGATGCACTGGAAGGCGGCCTCCACGTTGTAGTCCTCCTTGGCGGACGTTTCGAAGTAGGGGATGTTGCCCTTGGCTGCGCACCACGCCTTCACCTTCTTCTCCGATACCTGCACGCCATGCACGCGCCAGGCACAACAGAGACACGAGGAGACACGCGACAGGCACGAGCGTACAAAGGGAGTGTATGAGGAAGAGAAGGTATTTTATGGGGCATGTGAGGGCGCTAAAGCAGGACAGGGAATATCTATTGAATGCGGAGATTTGAAAATAGAGGAGCTGCGCAAGCGAGCGTATGCTTACCACGCGGCTGTTGCCACCGTCCACGTCGATCTTGTTGCCGAGCACCACGAACGGGAACAGATCTCGCTCTGCTGGATTGGCCTGTCCACGTCGCGGGAGGACAAGACACACGAGGGTCGCGTCAGCTCTGCCGTAAATTTAAACAGCTTTTCTTGTTAATCATGTTGATTTCGATTCCCGATCATGTCCGTACATTCTAAGACGGTTCAACGGCACACACCTGTGATAAGACACCACGGTGCGCACCTGTAATGAGTGACCACGGCACGCACCTGTATCAAGAACTCCTCCCGCCAGTTGTCGAGGTTCTCAAACGACTTCATCACGTTCACGTCGTACACCAGCACGCAGCAGTCCGCTCCCCGGTAAAACGCCACTCCCAGGCTCTGAAACCGCTCCTGCCCGGCTGTATCCCAGATCTGGATCGAAACGAAAAACTGTTATGATCTCATGATAAAAAGAAACTCCCAGATCACGAAGGCTGACTACCGGTAGCCGACAACACATCTGACCGCTCCTTCCGCTCCTTTCCCCCTCCAATCTGCAAAACTACAGCGCTGAGGAAAAAGCTAGGATGTACCTGCATGGTTACAAGCTTGTCGTCTACTTGGACCTCCTTCGTTAGAAAATCGGCTCCAATGGTTGCTTTATATTGTGCGCTGAACTTCTTATTCACGTATCTACAAGGAACAAAGCAGGGGGCATGGTCAGAGGACGAGCAGCTCCATAGCGAAACTAATCGACAAATATGCGACGATTTGAGCAACAGCGAAGCGCACTGACTGCTTACTGGTTCATGAGCGACGTCTTTCCGACGCTGCGCGTATTCAAGCGGGGGAAAAACACCATGGGGAGGAGTTAGAGGATTCTACGAACGCGAAACACGACGAGGAGCTGGAAGCTAGCAGGTAAATATAACAGCCTACGCACCCGCTATCCCCGAGAATGATGACCTTCAGCAAAGTACGCCTCCTGGCAGACATTTTGGCGCGTTCAACAGTGAACTTTTTGAACTCCAACGGCTTTAGTCCAAGACGAAATCTATTAGGACACCGTGGCAGTGCTAGAAAGCAACTAGTCACGGGGGTCGTGATTCGTGCAGTCCAGGTTAGTTCACGGCTTGGGTGAAAGGAACCTAGAATGGCGGAGAGTGAAACGTTTGGATGACTTGACAACCATACTAGATGCTCATAACAGGGCAGGCGGGAAGATTGCTTGAAACGACCATCCAATATAAGAACGTGCCAGAATCGGGGAGCGTTAGTGAAAGTTTGGTAGAATGTAGGTTTATATAAGAGCTTGAAGAATTCCTGAAGTGTAGGAAACACGATTCTGTAACGCGGATAATGCAACCATTAGGGAGCAGCCACTTCACCCTGTCGCAAATTCACTGTAAGTGCTGCTGACCTGTGTCGGTCAGCCGCCAATCGCGTCGCTGCGACGCGGCCCAGCACCTTCGCGATGCCGAATGTGGTAACCATGGAGACAGATGGGTGTGTCAGCGCCAGTGTCGTGCCATTCGCGCCGCGTCAATTGTCACGGCGCAGCGCAACTGAGCTTCTGAAATCCGCGATGACGGGGGGAGACCATGTGGGGGTGATTGTGAGTGAATGTCGAGACGGACAAATTCCCCGTCAACCCTTTCCTTCGCACGACCGCCTTAGTCTGACCATGGCCCACACTAGATATCTCTACAACCAATCACCACCCATACCCACCCATCCGGCACTTTGGTTCCTCTCATTTCCCGCCCGCCCTGCCTTGGCTCAAGTTGTGACATGACATTCAGCTGCGGCCATTGAGCTATTTTATGAGCTTGAAGGCCTGTTACATAGTAGATAGAGCATTGAGCGAGCGAGGGAGAGCGTGAGCCGTCTAATATCTTCCGGCAGCTTGAAAGCTCGACACCGAGCACAAGGCTGGATCCCTAGCATCTCAGGCTCAAGCAGTAGACCCCATTGCCCATCGCAGGCTCTTACTATGCTTGGTTCTAGTCATTAACTATACTTCAACGTTCGTTTCGTCCATTACCCGCCTGAACGGCTCGCCTCTCCCGCCCTCTAGCCGCGATGGCGATCAGAGCCACCTCCTCAATCCGTCGAGCCTCCCTTCTCCTCCTCCTCCTCGCCGCCTCCTGCGGCGCTCCGCGCTTCACCTCCGCAAGCCAGCTGGGCGACGGCTATTGGTTCGCAGTGGGAAGCCAGATTCTGGACGAGGCGGGCCGCGTGGTGCAATTCTCGGGGGTCAACTGGAACGGATTCGACGCCGCGAATTGCGTCGCAGACGGACTATGGGCGCGCGGGCTCAGCGACTACCTGGACCAGATGGTGTCGCTCGGGTTCAATGTTATTCGCCTCAACTTCGCCACATCGTGCATTTCGCCGTCAATTCGCCCGACTGACGGGTCCATCGACTACAAGAAAAACCCGGAACTCGAGGTAGATTAAGATCCGAACAAACCAGGCAGATTATAGGCAAAGTCAAGTCAGGGTCTAGTCAGAAAGCTGAGCTATGCCTCAATGGCGCATCGTAACAAATGACGCTAAATCGCGATCGCGACCTGCTGGCTGAATCTCCCCAGGCATCTTCCGCCCCATCTCCGCCGCGTTGTTGTCGTCGGCGGCCGGCAGGCAGCATCCCTCCTGCTAAGCGTAAATTGACGCCGCTTGTTGCCACGTTCCCCGCTTTACGCTTTCCGCTTTCCTCCCTCCGCCACCCGCTTACAGCCCACCCTCTTTTCCCCTTTCTTTCGCGCTTTTCCCCCCGCCGTTCCGCGCAGGGTCTATCGACTCTCGAGGTGATGGATGCGGTCATTGCGGGCGCGAAGCTCCGCGGAATCCGCGTGATCCTCAGCAACTCGCGCGTCAGCCCAGCGCTTCCGCCCGACTACGCCGCGGACGCGGGGCTGTGGTTCGATCTGGGGAACCCGGAGCGCGTGTGGCTCGACAACTGGAACCTGCTCGCGTCGCGCTACTACGGCGAGCGCACCGTGGTCGGCGTTGACCTGTTCAACGAGCCGCACCGCGACCCGTCGCATCCGGACGTCACGTGGGAGGCGGACGGCGTGAACGAGCCGTACAACTGGCGCACGGCCGCTAAGAGGTGCGCTTGCAACGGCCCCTCCTATTTATTTTCTTTGCGTGCTTTGAGCAATGTTTCTGGGAGAACGCAGAGCGCAGAGCGCAATATCTTGTCTCTTCGCCTCGTCTCTTTTGTCATTTTTTCGCAAAACCGCGCATATGGTGCGGCGGTGAACCCCGATTAGCTCATCTCCGTTCCTCATGTAGCAAATGTTACCACTCCCTTCCCTCACTTCTCCTTTTCGCAGAGCCGCGGACGTGGTGCAAGCCGTCAACCCCGACCTGCTCATCTTCGTGCAAGGCCTGGACGGAGACGACTGCTGGTGGGGATCGAACCTGCGACCTGTCTATTTCTACCCGCTCAAGCTCAACATCCCCTACAAGCTCGTCTACTCCATTCACGACTATGGCCCCATGGTCAAAGACGGCCAGCCATGGCTGTACGATCCCGCGTTTCCCGCGAATCTGGAGGGCTATTGGGACGAGCTGTGGGGGTACGTGGCGGACCAGGGCATCGCGCCGGTGTGGGTGGGCGAGTGGGGGAGCATGCTGCCAGTGGACGGCACGGACCAGCTGAGTCAACGCGAGATGAAGTGGGTCGCCGCGCTAAGAAACTACATCAGGTAAGGCTATAACGGGGATGATTTTTTAGTCTACTCATAGGCTGTGGGGGTATGTGTCGGACCAGGGCATCGCGCAGGTGTGGGTGGGCGAGTGGGGTAGCGTGCTGCCCGTTGACGGCACGGACCAGCTGAGCCAACGCGAGATGAAGTGGGTCGCCGCGCTAAGGAACTACATCAGGTGAGGCTATAACGGGGATGGATTTGAGGGGGATGGGGAAACGAGGGTGTCAAAGGACACGGGCGGTGCGCTGCACACTCTTCCAGGCCCCTTGCCTTAAATCTCCCTGCCTCCCCTCCCCACCACCCCCGGCCCTCCCTCTGTCCCTCTCCTTTTCCCGCCTACCAGGAAGAAGCAGCTGTCATGGACGTGGTTCACGTGGGGCCCCAACTCCAAGGACACGGGCGGCGTGCTGCACGACGACTGGGACACGGTGGAGCAGGGCAAAATGGAGGTCATGGCGCGGGTCATGCACCCCGCCTTCGGCCCCGCCATTGGTGACCGCCCGCCCGTGCCGCCCCGCCACGGGCTGCTGCTGGTGTACGCGCCGGAAAACGCCTCTGGGATCAGCATGCCTGTTGCTGGTGAGTGGGCGGAAAGGGGGGTTGGGTGGGGGTGATGGGGGCAGGAGGTGGGGGTGAACGGCGGAGCAGGGCAAGCTGAAGGTCCAATGTGAAGTCCAATCAAACCCCATTTAGAGGTCACGCAGGTCATGCACCCGCGCTTCGCCCCCTCCATTGGTGGCCGTCCCTGCGTGCCAACCTGCCGCGGGTTGCTACTGGTGTAATCGCCGGAGAATGCCTCTGGAATCAACACGCCTGTTGCTGGTGAGTGTGGGGAGAGTGGGGGAGAGTGGGTGGAGGAGCGGGGAGATGGGGGTGTGCGGCTATGATGGATTTGACGCCAGATCCAGTTTTTTTCAAGCGTCAAAACGTGGTGTTTTGACGTTTGACGCGTCGAAGCGTCAAAACGCTTGACGCTTTGGCCATTTTTTTCTGGGCAGCCCAAAATCGAAAAAAAAGCGTCTAAAGTAAGCCTGGCGTCTCTATATGCGAGAAGGCCCCGGATGAGGTGTTCGAAGCGATCAGAGACCTGTGCGAGGCCACGGGGCCGGCTAAGGTGGATAAGAGGAGTGCGGAGACGGAAGCCATTGCTGCAGTTAGTAGTGCACCAGGGAAGAACTCCTGCCCACCCCCCCACCTTCCCCCCTCCCCCCTCCCCCCAACCTCACTTACTAGCCCCCCTGCCCTGGATATTTCGTTTGCCTTCCTGCCAGAGAGTCAAACTGGGGGGTACCCCTCGGACAGGGGCCGTCAAGAGGATCAAAACGCCGGCGTTTTGACTCAGAGTCAAAACGATGAGGGCGTCAAATCCATCATAGGTGTGTTGGTCTGCTAAGGAATGACCACCATGCCATGTCTGTGAATGTGTCGGAGAACACCGCTGGGATGAGCAGCACACTCCCTTTTGCCCCCACTTGCTCTCTTGTCCTTTCTCTCTTCTCCCCTTTTTCTTTCCCTCTTGGTCTTCATCTCCTCCTTCCTAAATCCTTCGCTCTTCCCAATGCTTATGCTTTGTCTTGGTGATGTCTCTCTGTGTGTGCAGCACCCAAGCAGCGGCCAGGGTCAGACTCATACTTCAAAGCAAGCACTCCTTCAGCCAGGGCCTCGTGGTTTCTGCTTGCAATCGCAGCGAGTGCATGGTTGCTACAACTAGCCCTTGCCGCTTGACGCTGCTCGGGAACTTTCTTTTCATAGTGTTTTTCTGACTTCTGTAGGGACCATGTGTGTTGTATGGTAACTCTTAGGCTAGCTTCTACATGGCATATACCAACTACAATAGGAGCGCCAAACTGCTTTGGTTAATAAAACCCTTGGCATCTGTTTCCAAGGTACCCTTCTTTGGCGGATAAAGCTTTCTACACTCTCCCCTTGAATGGTCGAGTCTTTCAAAGCATACAAAACTGTTGAGAGTGACATGTTCAATATAATTGTGCTGCCATCACTGGCTGGCTACATAAGTTTTGACTTCCATTACGTAAAGCCTGACGCTAAACCCTGAAAATGGCGTGAAAAATATGCAATGAATATCATAAATGGAATTAATGTGAGCCCACTAGCAATGCAAGAGAATAACTCTTGGACCTTGGGGTTCGCAATACTGCAATAGTTGTAAGGTTTTTGGTGGACCTTGGGGTTTTTATTATAAAAGATATTTGTTTAGCGAGAATGGATTCAACAAAATGCAGTGTCGCTGCACTGGTCATCAGTTTGCTGGACGAAAACCAGGCCGTCGCAGCACTGTCGCGAACGTGTCGCCTCGGTTCAAATGGAACCTGAGCCGTTACAGTACGGGAAAATTCACTTCTCACCTTTGTCACCTATGTTTCCTTCCACCGATTTTTGTCGTGGGCAGTGTGGTTCGGTGAGCGGCATCGAAGAATCTTTTCCCGCGATGTTCCACTCTAGCAGTGCCCCTTGGTTTTCCGCTACTCAACAGTTTTACGTACAATCCCGCCCGCCCTCCTGCTTTTGGAGTCAGCTGCTGCGCTGGTGCCAGCGGCAGTTGGGAACTTGGGACAATCCACTCACCGTTCGCCTGCCCGTCCCCTTCCTCTCCCTGACTCCCTCGCTTTTTCATCTCCACTTCCACAACCTTCGCGCGGGGCGGGTGGTTTTGCGGCGTGGGCTCGCCTTCGCTCCGCCTCGCCTTGGGGTTCGTTTTTTGCTCCCTTTAGCTGCCAGCAGTGGGCAAAACGTGGCGATGCATTCCTCCTTCGCTCTGTCTGCATGACTGTCAAAACCACACCTTCATCCACGCATCTGTTAACCCATCGGTATTCCCGGTGCCGCCTCTGCCAGCTTGTTTCACAGTGGGTACAGGTTGAGGATCAGGTTCGATCACCCTCAGGACCTCCTTTTGCCACGAGGTTGGGCGCGTCTCAATAGGGTTTAGAAATATGCAGCAACGTTGTAGTGCGGTGGCTAGTCAAAACGAAACATTGTCCCTCGAGATTGCCAACTTCACTTAGGTTTTTGCCGTGATCCGTTCGGTTACCTATCCAGATGCCTCTACCCTCAGTCCTCCCGTCTGCTATGTACAGTAATGACAGCACGGCCTATCATTTCTGTTTTGATACCAGCATACCGATCCCTTTCGGTCCTAGCCTCCTAGACGACCCCTGAAGGCATGTCCTGCTAATATTGTGGTGTTATCTGTCGGTTCCCAGGACATGCCAAACGAGCTCCCAACCATTAGGCAGTCGCATAGTTGCGAGAGTGGCGTAAGTGACGAAGTAGGCGACAGCCATTGGGACAATGGAATTCATTCGCCGGTGAGAGTCACAATGACGAGGCGAGAGCGAGCTCTGCAGATGTGCGGTGTGCTTAGCGCGAACCGATTCTGCAGAATGGGATTCCCAGAACGAGACGCAGATGCGGGGGAAGATGACGAGGAAGCGCAAAGAGTGGCGAGTTCAGGCGCGGCGATAAAAGCGAAGAAGGTCGTGACGAAGAATAAAGCGAAAGCGGAGGGAGCGGAGAAGGAAGCGGGGGAGGAAGCGGGGGAAGGAGCGGAGGAGGATGACGCGCTGCTGACGAAGCCGCCGTCGAAACGGCAGCAGTTGATGCAGCACTTACAATCCCCCGTTTTTATCACCCGGCTAGTTATGATGGTACGTTATCGTACGGCTAACAGCAGTGACTGTACGTAGATCGTACGGCCAGCGAGGGCCAGTCGGCACAGACCAGCTCACAGCTTGCTTACTTCACAAACTGATACTAGAAGCAGAGCGACGATTCTCATTAGTAAACGTTTTGACCATCCTCCCAGCAATAACATGTTCTTAGGGGTTTGACCTTAAACGCTAACGAGCGTTCATACTTGTGCCTTCGTTTTAGCGTTCGGACGAACTGAAGCTTGCGAGCACGGAGCTGCGTTGTACAGCGCATAATGACTTCGCAAAGTGGTTCGCGAGGATACGAGAAGGAGCCTAGTTTCTGGTTAGCTCAAAACTGGAGGAGGTGCGCGCAAGTACAGGGATCTGAGTTTACTGCTCGTACATTCTCCCTTGGATCCTTGGTTTCAAATCCTGTCGTAGACCCGTTTCTGCACCTTTTTTTTTTTTTGGTATGAAGTTTCGTCGTCCGAACCCTAACGGCTCCATATTTTTTAAAATATTCATGTTTCCGCTTCTAGAACGTCGTAGATTTCGATGATCCTGTCGGTTTAGACTTGGTTCATCATTCCGAATCTCCTGTCGCCAATGATGGTGTGCGTCCGTCCTGTAGCGTTCGTAAGCTCGCTGGTCCGATTGAGGTTTGTCCGTTCGGCCTTTCAGTCAGTGATGGCATTTCTGGAAATAGTGGCGGTGGTGCTCATACTTGAGAATTTGTCGATGATTGGACTGGCAGGCGTTTCTGGTGATTGTGGTGGTGGTTCTCACAGTCGGCACGTGGTTCGCCGCCAGAACTGCCTACAGCCAATCGCTCGACGCCGTCGCCCTTCAGTACGTTCCCCCGTTCCCACTCCCGTCCCCTTGACCTTCCCGCTTCCCCGCTCTCTATCCCCTGCTCCCGTTCCCCGCAACGCAATCACCGCGTGCGACAATTTGCGCCGCAATTGACCATAACCGGACTTGAAGACTGACTGTACGATCGTCGTTCCATTCTCTGCGGCTCATGAACTACTCGAAACGACCAATAAAGAGCCGCTTTGCTCAATCGCGTGTCTCATCCCCCCATCTCCCCACGCTCCCTGAAAAAAACTTCCGCAACCAGAATATCCGGTCCCGCCCAGCGCTTTCCATCATTGTAGGGTATACCCAAGTTTTAGCTTCTTCAACTAGGCACGCATGGGTTTCCGTTCCTACCTTCCACGCTCCCTCCGCAGGCTGCGTGAGAAGACCCTAGTGGGCGTGCAGGAGCAGTTCCTGCTGTAGATAAACCACCAGCGCGATGTATAGAGGATGCTTATAACGCATGTTTTCTTTGCCCACCCCGACACCCCCCCCCCCCCCTCTCTTCCCCCCGGCAGGCTGCGCGAGAAGACACTAGTGGGCGTGCAGGAGCAGTTTCTGCTGTACATAAACCGCGACCGCGACGTGCTCGTGTCGCTCTCCTCTGTGCTCGAAACCACCTTCCAACAGCTGCGCACGTGGAACCTAACCCTTAACGATAGCCTCAGACTGGTGCGTGGGCGAAGGGCCGGAAGTGATGGTAGACGGTGGTAGGCGGTGGTGGACGGTGGTGGGCGGTGGAAGCCGGTATCAGGTTCATCCACATACACGTTCACATGCGCTTCCAATCATGCAAACACGCGTATGCCAGCACGGTTACATGCATGTGCCATTACGGCAGATCCATATGTATCAATGTACATGCATATCCCACAATAATTTTTTGCATATGCCATCACGGGCACATGCATATGCCATGCCATCACAAGCATATTCATGTGCCGTCACTCCTGTGTATCTAAATTTACATGACTAATCCGTTCTCTTAACCGTTCTCTTATCATAGCACCACGGGTCCACATTGGGACACGTTAACACCCTACCAATCACCATCGCTGCACAGCAAATATTCAACCCTCCTCCTCGCCCGTCCGCCTCATCCCTCCCACCCGTTCCGCCACCATCCCCACCATTCCCCAATCCCATCCCCTCCCACCTTCCAGGTCCGTCCCCTACTCTGGTCGTTCTTCAAGAGCTCACTCCCACACATCACCACGCTCGGCTACTACAGCATGACAGGCCCTTTTGTAACATACGCACAGTACGACCTGGCTAAACAGTCCTTCGCCTCGCAGGACGGATCTCTCTCCATGGTCTATTCCAGAAACGTTCTCCCCAACTCCACCGCCCCCTGGTTCATCCTGCCCACAAACTCCTCCTCCGGGCTGCCCGCAAACAACACCCCGACGGCGTTCAAGCCACTGCGACTAGGATCCGTGGAGCTATACCAGCAGATTGAGCGCGGAGAGGAGAACCTCCTGTGGACGTTCAACGCGATTCAGGACCTGTCCGGCCCGATGCTTGTCGCCAGCTCGGCTGTGCACAGCCCAGGGGTGACTCCCCCTGCGGGCGTGCTCATTCTCGGGTCGTCCGTGGGCATAGTGAACCGGTTTCTCGTGCAGGACACGATAGAGGGGTGCGTGATGTACATCGGGAGCTCTGAGGGGTTCCTGGTGGCTACGTCAACAGGGGTAGCTACGTCCACTCCAACTGGGGAGGGGCGGCTGCAGCAGTTTGTGAATGCGACGGATGTGGAGGATGCGACGATTGCAGGCGTGGCGCGGTATTTGGAGCGCGAGTACGGGCTGCCGGCGCTGGTGGCGGGGAATTATAGTCTGAGCAATGTGGATGTGGTGGGGCGCGCGTGGTATGTCAGCAGCATGGGCTTCGCCGTTGATAACCTGAAGCTGGTGAGCTGATAAGCGAGGGGGGGGGGGGGGATTGATACGTGAGGGGGGGGGAGGGAGCTGAGGCTGGTGAGCTGATAAGGTGAGGCTGGTTTGGAGGGAAGATGGGAAAGAGTGCAGAGTGAGAGAAGAGAAAGGGGTGGCATTTTTGGTACGCTATGTGAATGGTTGGTGGTGACGTTAGAGTTGGGGTTGCAGGTTGGCACATGGGCTCTGCCAAGTAGGCAGATGGGCTCTGCCAGGTTGGCACATGGGCTCTGCCAGGCTGGGTGGTATGTGCTGCCCTTGACCATCTCCATTGCAGCCCCCGAGTCCTCAACCGATGCCTGGGTGAGAACCCTCTGACCCTGACACACCACCTCGTTGATGGGTGGTGGGCAAGGTTCAAAAATACGGTATATGTAAATTACGGCTCGTAAATTACGGTCGTAATTTACGGTGGTTTTGGCAAAAATACGGTCGTTTTTTAATGGACTTTTTTGCGGCAATTTTTTTTTTTTTTTCCAGAAACTTCAAGAATGCTTACAACGATGACTAGGAAGGCAACAACAAACTACACTACAGAGAAACAAGCCTATAATGGACCGCTACACCACTACCATTGCTAAGCCTACCTAGTAGTACCTACCTTTAGGCTAGATCTGCTCCTACTCCCTCCCCACGCTACGCGAAAAAAACACACTCGCGTGGATTTGGGCGCACGAAATTTCTCACAAGCAGGGTGACGGTTGGGAAATGTCGAAATTCGCTAGACACAAACCCAGTTTCAAAATTTCGGTCGTAACTTACAATCGTATTTTTGAACCAACCTAATTTTGCAAGGTCGAACCGTTTTTTACCGTAATTTACGACCGTAAATTACGATACCGTAATTTACGGTAAATTTTCAAAAATACGGTCGTATTTTTGAACCTTGGTGGTGGGGGACTGTAGACCACGAGATGCAAGCAGTGCCCTTGTGTGTCCCCTCCCCACTCTGCCCAACCAATCTTAACCCACCAGTACCTGGCGATGATCCTCCCAAGCACGTCTGCAATAGGGGTGATGGATCAGGAGATAGAGATGATGATTAGCTCCACCTCTTGCATGTCCCCAATTGTCCCAAACCCTCTCCACCCCTCTCCACCATTCTCTCCAACCCACCAGTATCTGGTGATCATCCTGCCACGCACGTCCATCATGGGAACGGTGGATCAGGAGATGGAGACAATGATCATCGTGACATCCTGCGTGGCGGTGGGGCTGCTGCTGCTGGGGTGGGTGGTGGTGATCTTCCTCACGCTCTACGTGGACACGCGCATGCGCCCCAAGGAGGAGCTGCAGCGCCAGAAGGAGGAGACGCAGCGAGCCCAGGCGGCCTCGGAGGTCAAGAGCCAGTTTCTTGCCAACATCTCCCACGACCTGCGGACTCCCATGGCCGGGTGAGTGAGTGAGTGAGGGGGCTGGTTGGGCCTCTCTATCCTCTCGCTGCTCAACAACCTGTTGGACCTCGCCAAGGTGGAGGCGAACCACATGCAGCTGGAGGTCCTCTGGTGCTCTCTGCTCACCTTTGTGCTCACCTCCCTTGCAATCCCTCCCTGCCTGCCTCCATCCATCGCACCCACCCCAACCCCCACCCTCCCCCCCTTGCCTCTCTTCCGCAGCATCCTGGGCCTGCTGGACATAATGCTGTGTGACCATCTAACGGCCGAACAAGAAGCCAATCTGAGGCAGATGAAGTCGTGCTGCGCTTCCCTCCTTGGGCTGCTAAACAACCTGCTGGACCTGGCCAAGGTGGAGGCGGGCCGCATGCAGCTGGAGGTGCTGGAGTTTGACATTGTGGGCGAGCTCGAGTCGCTCGTCGACATGTTCAGCGTGCAGGGATTGAGCAATGGCACGGAGATTGCTCTCGATCTCTCGGATGATATTGAGCGGACGGTTAAAGGGGACCCTTCCAGAGTCCGACAGGTGAGAGCGGGCCCGAGGTGCCTGGAAGCAGGCTGGTGCTGTTGTGTGGTGTGTGGGCTGCGGGTGGAATGGTGGGTGCATGCATGCATGCGTGAGCGCATGCAGCTGGAGGTGTTGGAGTTTGACATTGTGGGCGAGCTCGAGTCGCTCGTCGACATGTTCAGCGTGCAGGGGCTCAGCAACGGGGTGGAATCGCTCTCGATCTCTCAGATGACATCGAGAGGACTGTGAAGGGAGACCCCTCAAAGGTGTGTTTTGAGTCGACTCAAAACACACCAGGACTGTGAAGGGAGACCCCTCAAAGGTCCGACAGGTGCGAGGGGGGCCGGGGAGGGCGGTGCTGGATTGGGGCGTCCGAAAGAAGGTTGGTGTTGTTTTGCTTGTCTGGCTTGTGGGCTGTGGTGGAACGGCGGGTGCGTGCGTACATGCGTGGGCGTGAGTGCATGCAGCTGGAGGTGCTGGAAAAGCAGGCATCTCGTTTTCTGTTCTTGATTGCCCTCCTCCCTTTTTCGTTCCCCTGCAACCTCCTCCTCCCCTCCTGCTCCCATGCTTGCCCCTCACAATGCACTAAGATGTTTCGCAACACTCACTTGCCCTCCTCCGCTCTCACTGCCACTCCCTATTCGCCCCTCTCCCTTGTTCCCCTCCTCTCCCTCTTCCCCTCGACTCCCTCGTCCCCCTTTCCCTCCTTTTCCCATCTGCCCCTCGTCTCCCTTGTCTCCCTCGTCTCCCTTGTCTCCCTTGTCTCCCTCGTCTCCCTTGTCTCCCTCGTCTCCCTTGTCTCCCTCGTCTCCCTTGTCTCCCTTTCCCTCTTTTCTCCCTCTGCCCTGCCCCTCAACTCCCTCGTCCCTCGTTGCCCTATCCTCTCCTGCCGCCCGCCAGGTGTTTGCGAATCTGCTGAGCAACGCGTGCAAGTTCACGCGGAACGGGCAGGTCATTGTGAGGGGGTGGATGAGACACAACCCGCCGCCCCACCTGCGCGACTCAGACCTGTCCATCCCAGGGGAGAAGAAGTGAGTGGGTGGGGGGGGAATGAGGGAGGGAGGGAGGGGGGCGTCTGTGTTTGGGACGCATTGGTGAGAGGGGAGGGGGAGCACAGGGGGGTAGGGGGAGCACAGGGGGGTAGGGGGAGCACAGGGGGGTAGGGGGAGCACAGGGGGGTAGGGGGAGCACAGGGGGTTAGGGGGAGCACAGGCGGGTAGGGGGAGCACAGGGGGGTAGGGGGAGCACAGGGGGGTAGGGGGAGCACAGGGGGGTAGGGGGAGCACAGGGGGGTAGGGGGAGCACAGGGGGTTAGGGGGAGCACAGGCGGGTAGGGGGAGCACAGGGGGGTAGGGGGAGCACAGGGGGGTAGGGGGAGCACAGGGGGGTAGGGGGAGCACAGGGGGGTAGGGGGAGCACAGGGGGGTAGGGGGAGCACAGGGGGGTAGGGGGAGCACAGGGGGGTAGGGGGAGCACAGGCGGGTAGGGGGAGCACAGGGGGTTAGGGGGAGCACAGGCGGGTAGGGGGAGCACAGGGGGGTAGGGGGAGCACAGGGGGGTAGGGGGAGCACAGGGGGGTAGGGGGAGCACAGGGGGGTAGGGGGAGCACAGGGGGTTAGGGGGAGCACAGGCGGGTAGGGGGAGCACAGGGGGGTAGGGGGAGCACAGGGGGGTAGGGGGAGCACAGGGGGGTAGGGGGAGCACAGGGGGGTAGGGGGAGCACAGGGGGGTAGGGGGAGCACAGGGGGGTAGGGGGAGCACAGGGGGTAGGGGGAGCACAGGGGGTTAGGGGGAGCACAGGCGGGTAGGGGGAGCACAGGGGGGTAGGGGGAGCACAGGGGGGTAGGGGGAGCACAGGGGGGTAGGGGGAGCACAGGGGGGTAGGGGGAGCACAGGGGGGTAGGGGGAGCACAGGGGGGTAGGGGGAGCACAGGGGGTTAGGGGGAGCACAGGCGGGTAGGGGGAGCACAGGGGGGTAGGGGGAGCACAGGGGGGTAGGGGGAGCACAGGGGGGTAGGGGGAGCACAGGGGGGTAGGGGGAGCACAGGGGGTTAGGGGGAGCACAGGCGGGTAGGGGGAGCACAGGGGGGTAGGGGGAGCACCAAGGTTCAAAAATACGGTAAATGTAAATTACGGCTCGTAAATTACGGTCGTAATTTACGGTGGTTTTGGCAAAAATACGGTCGTTTTTTAATGGACTTTTTTGCGGCAAATTTTTTTTTTTTTCCAGAAACTTCAAGAATGCTTACAACGATGACTAGGAAGGCAACAACAAACTACACTACAGAGAAACAAGCCTATAATGGACCGCTACACCACTACCATTGCTAAGCCTACCTAGTAGTACCTACCTTTAGGCTAGATCTGCTCCTACTCCCTCCCCACGCTACGCGAAAAAAACACACTCGCGTGGATTTGGGCGCACGAAATTTCTCACAAGCAGGGTGACGGTTGGGAAATGTCGAAATTCGCTAGACACAAACCCAGTTTCAAAATTTCGGTCGTAACTTACGACCGTATTTTTGAACCAACCTAATTTTGCAAGGTCGAACCGTTTTTTACCGTAATTTACGACCGTAAATTACGATACCGTAATTTACGGTAAATTTTCAAAAATACGGTCGTATTTTTGAACCTTGGGGAGCACAGGGGGGTAGGGGGAGCACAGGGGGGTAGGGGGAGCACAGGGGGTAGGGGGACTGGTGGGCGAATGGGAAGTGCTGGGATTGGGCAAGAAGGGGGAATGCATGGGGGGTTGGGTCGGGCAGGCAAGGGGGGGAAGGATAAGCAGTTTGGGATTGGGGAGAGTGGGAGGAAGGAGGTCGGGGGTCAGGGAGTAATAGTGAAGCGCAAATGGCCTGTAGCCTTCAGCCACCACCACCACCACTACCGACGCTGCAGGCAGTGCGGAAGGCGATGGGTCCCCCTCCTTCCTCACCCCCACTCTCCCCACCTTTCCGCCCCGCCCTCCCTCTCTCCTCCCTCCTTACTTCCCAGGCGCAGCGGCCACGGTCCCAGTGTGGACGCGGACGGCACGCCAGCTTCTGCCACCACCAGCGCTGCCACCGACGCTGCAGGCAGCACAGAGGGCGACACTGACACTTCAGCAGCAGCAGGCGCAGCATCAGCAGCAGGGGGAGCAGGAGGGGGCGCAGGGGCAGCAGGGGGGGCGGGTGGGGGGGGGGAAGGAGGGGGGACGGGAGAGGCGGATGGTGACGTTTATGTTTGAGGTGGATGATTCGGGGCCGGGCATCCCCGCACACAAGAGGCAGCTCGTCTTTGAAAACTTCCAGCAGGCCGATGCTTCCACCAACCGCACCCATGGCGGCACGGGGCTCGGGCTGGGCATCGTCAAATCCCTGGTGCGTTCTGGCTTGGTGTAACTGTTTTAGGGTTTGGTTGGTTGGTAGTACACTGCACTCCCCCCTCACACACACCCTCGCTCGCTGCTTTGACTTGACAACGCGTCTTTTCAACCACTGCCTTTTCGTCCAGAAGAAGGAGAAAATGGACGAGCGCATAGCAGTGGTGGACAAGGAGGGCTGCCATGGCGGGGAGGGGGTTCACACATCATAGCACCTTTGAAAATCACTGACAACTGGAATTCTTTTTCCCCCACTCCCACTCCTCCCTCCCCTCTCCGCAGGTGCAACTCATGGGGGGGCACATAGCGGTGGTGGACAAGGAGGGGGCGGGGGCGCGGTTCCGGTTTGACCTGTGCTTTGAGGCGCTGGACCACAGCAGCGTGTGGAAGAACAGCATGCTGCAGCCTGAGTTCCTGCTGCCCAAGCTCACCACCGTCGAGGGCGGCCAAGTCCTCCTTGCCATGCGCGAGGAATCCGCCGGCGCTGCCATCGCCTGCGCGTGGCTGGAGCGGCGGAAGCTGCACGTGTGGCGGGCCACGCAGTGGGGCGATATCATGCCAGCTGTCTCGTCTATGCTGGTTCACAGAGCGTCGGATCGAGCGGGGTTACAGCCGAGGGTGTCGAGGTCTATGGTGGGGTTTTCCGCGCCGCTGGCTCGGTCATTTCAGCCCGGGGGGGTTGGGGCGAGCGGGAGGGGCGGTGCGGGGGCAGGAGCGGGGAGGGAAGGGGTGTTTAGTCCGATTCCGGAGCAGAATCAGAGCCAAGGTGTGTCGTTTAGGGACGGGGGAGGCTCGGCCAGCCCTGCTGCCGGTCCTGCTGGTCATCGCCCCACCACCCCGAGAGATCGTGTTCCTCCGAGCCAGCCCTATGCCTCAGGCTCGGTAAATAGTGGTGCCTCGGTAGCAAGTCCAGCCGCTGCCACAGGGAGCAGCGCAGGTCCGGGCCGAGCCATGTCTCCAGCGTCGTCGTTTTCCCCGAAGCTCCTTCAACGAGCACGGTAGGGTAAATAGCCCCGGAATGGTCGGGGACGACGGCGCAGGTACCGCCGGCGGGAACAGCTTCGGATCCGCCAACTCCCGGCTCGTCCTCGCGATAATCGACGTTTCCCTCGTCCCGAACCTGTACCAGTTCATAGCAGAAGAGCTACATATCTTCAGGGCCAGGCTGCAGCACCAGGGGTTTGTGATCGCGTGGCTCGTGGAGCATAACACGTCCGCGGATACCAGGCGGTCGCTGAGAAGGTCCGGGTGTGCTGTGGCGTCCAAGCCTCTGTATGCGTCGCGCATGGCCCCGCTGCTCGCGCTGGCGACGGCGAGGAATGGCGTGGCGCACTCGAGCTCGAGTATTGACATGCCGCCGCTGCCCAGTACGGGCGTGGGGAAGAGGGATCCGGGCGGAGGTGGAGGGGGAGGCGGGGGGGGGGGGGTGGTGGGGGAGGCGCAGGGCCGCACTGGCATGGAGAGGACTCGGTGAGAGACGCTTCCTCCCTCCCCTGCTGGCCTGATCTTTTTTGTTTTTGTTTCTGTTTTTTTTTTTTTTTTTTTTTTTTTTGTGCAGTTTTCGTTTTTGCCGAATGACAAACATAACCCACCCTCCCCTCCCCTCCCCCTCCCCTTCCCTCCCCTCCCCTCCCCTCCCCTCCCCTCCCCTCCCCTCCCCTCCCCTCCCCTCCACTCCCCTCCTCTCCCCTCCTCTCCCGCCCCCTCCCCTCCCTTGTCCCCTCCTGCATTCCACAGAGCTGGTCGCTCCCCCCACCAGTGGAGGAGGAGGACGGGGCAGTGGACAAACAGGCGCCCGCCACGTCAGCAGCGGGATCCCGCAGAGCGCTGCCGTCCCCGGCGTCGCTGGCAGCAGCAGCGGGCGGCATGTCTCCATCTGCCAGACTCATGGCACGGGGGGGCGTGGGGGGAGGCGGGGGAAGAGAGGGGGGAACAGGCGGAGGGGGGGGAGGGGCAGGGGGAGCGGTGGGGTCACCAGGAGATACCGCGGCTGGTGGGACTGGGGAAGGGCCAGGGGCGGCAGGGGGCGTGGGAGGGGCGAGTGAGAGTCAGAGGGATGGTGGCAGTGGCAAGGGGTCAACACACAGAGTGGGCCGCGCTCGCTCTATGAAGGTGAGTGAGTGTGTGTGTGTGTGCGCGCGCGCGCGCGTGAGTGCGTGCGGTCGGGCGGACGCGCGGGTGGGCGGGCAGGTGAGCGGGCGCGTGCGTGCGTGCCTCCGTGTCTGTATGTGCGTGTGCGTGTGTGTGTGTGTGTGTGTGTGTGTGTGTGTGTGTGTGTGTGTCACGTCACTCCCTCACTCCTTTCCCCTTCCCCACTGGTCGTTTCCCTTTCGTGGTGTGCCATGGCAGCATTCACCGGGGGCAGTCGGGGAAGGCAACTTTGAGACTGCGCTGGCCAGCAAGCGGGTTCTAATTGCAGAGGATACAGCACTGTTGCGCAAGGTGAGTACGGCGGCCAGAGCGGGCAGTCAAAGATTCGTATGTATGCAGGGCTCTCTGGGGGTGCAGGGCTCCTTGGGAATGCGGCGTGCTCATTGCAGAGGACACAGCACTGTTGCGCAAGGTGAGTGCGACGGTGGGCAGGGGATGTGCAGATGCCCAGGGGAATAAGCAGATGAATGGGCAGGTTGAAGGCTGTCGCTTAGAGGCTGCTTAGGTAGACGGTTGAAGGGTCATGCGGGTCAAGCGGGTGCTCGTTGCGGAGGAAGCACACGCTGCTCCTCGCTGCTCCCTGCTGCTCCCTGTGCTACCCTCACCCCCCGCCTCCCCCTCCATCCCCCCCCTCTTCCCCAGGTGGCCATAATCCGGATGCAGAAGCTGGGGTGTGAGGTGGAGGCGGTGTGTGACAGGCAGCAAGCAGTGGACGCCATTCTGTCCACCTATGCTGCTAGAGACACTCAGGGAGACGCCTTCCTCCTCCCCCCCTCCCCACTCTACCCCACCAGGTGGCCATAATCCGAATGCAGAAGCTGGGGTGCGAGGTGGAGGCAGTGTGCGATACGTGACTGTCCCCTCCTCCTCGCCGCCCCCTGTTCTACACTCACCTCCCCCTCCCCCTCCTCCTCCCCCCTCTCCTCCCGCAGGTGGCCATAATCCGCATGCAGAAGCTGGGGTGCGAGGTGGAGGCAGTGTGTGACGGGCAGCAGGCAGTGGACGCCATTCTCGCCACCTACGCTGCCAGAGACACTCAGGGAGACGCCGCCATGCACTTCGATGCTGTTCTCATGGACTGCCAGGTGGGCCAGGGGGGTTGGTTGGGCGTATGGCTTATGATGGACTGCCAGGTGGGCTTGCCGGCATGAAAGCACTCTTTGGGGCTTTTGAGTTGACTCAGAGATCACTTTGGCTGGTTTGATGTCACGTGCTGCTGCTAGACACACTCAGGGAGACGCCGCCATGCACTTCGATGCTGTGCTCATGGACTGCCAGGTGGGCCTTGGGTTGGGCGCCGCTTTTGTGCGCATGGACTGCCAGATGGATAGGCTTGACTTTTGAGTCGACTCAGAGGTCACGTTGGTGTGATGTCACATGCTGCTGCGGGGTCACAGGGAGACGCGGCCACGCGATTCGATGCCGTGCTCATGGACTACCAGGTAGGCTTGATCGATGGCCCTCTCATGCTCATGGACGAGCGACGGGAACAAGTGCCTGGACGAGGGCGTGGATGCGTACTCACCGCTTCCCATCCCCCTCTCGCTTCTGACCCTCCCAACTTACGAACGACCCCCCTCTTCCCCGTTTCCTCACTGCATATGCCGGTGCTGGATGGTCACAGGGCGACAGCAGCCATCAGGGCAGCAGAGGCAGGCACACGGTTCCACACGCCCATAGTGGCGCTCACAGCGCACGCCATGACCAGCGACGACTCACAAGCAGGGCGCTCACATCCTCCCTTTCACCACTCCCATGCTTTTCCGTGTTCCCTCTTCCCCCTGCCCTCACTCCAGATGCCTGTGTTGGACGGGTACGGGGCCACGGCAGCTATAAGAGCAGCAGAGAGCGGAACGCGGTTCCACACACCCATAGTGGCGCTCACAGCCCACGCCATGACAAGCGACGAGAAGAAGTGTTTGGATGCGGGCATGGACGCGTACCTCACCAAGCCCATTGACCCGGCCCTCATGGCGCACACGCTTCTCTCTCTTATGACTCGCTACCCGCGCTGCTGCGTTCCTCACATTGAGAGCATTGCGGAGGGTGAGGAGGGGAGTGTAGCAGTTGACGTTGCAGGTACAGCTGACGCCTCTGCTGCTGGGGGAGGGGTAGGCGCATTTGGTTCTGCTCCGGGGGAGCGACCGGTGTCTCCTGTTGCGGCTCTTGTGGTGACCATGCAGCCGTGATCGGGTGTGCTGGGCTGCAAGCAAGTAAGCAAGCAGGTGTGTGGGGGAGAAGAGAAGAAGTGTTTGGATGTGGGCATGGACGCGTACCTCACCAAGCCCATCGACCCCGCCCTCAAGCTTCCATGAATGCACGTACCTTACCAAGTGGCAAGCACATCAGACCTGCTCGGCGCTCTCCTGGTGCAGATGCTATAGAGCAGACAGGTGTGGCCCAGGGAGTACCTGTGGTGCTGCTTGCAGCAGGATAGGATAGAGGGTGGAAATCCATCCAAGGTGCTCGTGCTGCTGCTGCCCCTTTCTAGCTGCCCTGCTCCTGCTGCCTCTTTCCTGCTGCCCTGCTCCTTCTGCCTGCTGCTTTTTCGCTGCTTCTGCTCTTTCCGCTGTTGCTTCCCCGCCCGCCAGAACCGCAGCTTAGCACGAGAAGGATTTGGTAGCAGCGAAGGGGGAGAAAGAGCTGAGCCATGACAAAGTTGGAGAGGAGTGTGGTGTGGCACGATGCCTTGTGTGGAAAGTAGCTCAGCAGCACAGCTGGCGAAGCAATACTGTTGGATGCACAACACTGTTGGCTCGGGAACAACACTGGGCCGGGAGCAGCACAAGAGCAGCACACGGGCAAGAGCAACAAAAGGGCAGCACAAGGGCAGCACAAGGGCAGGAAAAAGAAGAGGAAGTGATGTGGATGCGGCATTGGATTTGTTTGGTTGGCAGCAGCACAAGGGCAGGTTCGGCAGCAGCACAAGGGCAGGTTCGGCAGCAGCACAAGGGCAGGTTCGGCAGCAGCACAAGGGCAGGTTCGGCAGCAGCACAAGGGCAGGTTCGGCAGCAGCACAAGGGCAGGTTCGGCTGCAGCACAAGGGCAGGTTTCGGCAGCATCAGAAGGGTAGGTTTGGCAGCAGCAGAAGGGCAGGTTCGGCAGCAGCACAAGACAGGTTTGGCAGCAGCACAAGTCAGGTTTGGCAGGCAGAAGGGTAGGTTCGGCAGCAGCAGAAGGGCAGGTTCGACCGCAGCACAAGGCAGGTTCGGCAGCAGCACAAGGGCAGGTTCGACCGCAGCACAAGGCAGGTTCTGCAGCAGCACAAGGGCAGGTTTGGCAGCAGCAGAAGGGTAGGTTCGGCAGCAGCAGAAGGGTAGGTTCGGCCGCAGCACAAGGGCAGCGTCGGTAGCAGCACCCGCACGGGTCGGGAGTGTGCGATATTTCTCGGCAGGAACATGGGCGGTGGGCAGAAGGGATGGGGTGGCGCCATGAGAACAACCTGTGACACCATGGCCTCATGCAATGCCACACCATCCCATGCACACATATTTACTGACTAAAAAGCTTGCATTTACTGCCATCCTCCTGCACCGGCAACAGCAGTGAAGTGGTTGCCACCAGACAGCAGCATGGAATGGAAAGGCGGCAGCAGCCACTGCAAAAATGCATGCAAAGAGAACGGGAGAGAGTGAGGTCCAGGACTGGAAGGGAAATCTACAGCAAGGCTCAATGGTACAAGGGTTCTGCCATCATCCCCCCATGTTCCCAGCAATTCATTCCTTCATTCCGGCGATTTGCACAACGACCATTGTAACAACCATGCTTTCAAAAGGAGCCGCTTAGTTTGCACAACAGGTTTCCATCATAGATCAGAAGCTCCCATTCCTTGATTTTCTAACACAGGCGGATTGTCGGCCTGGTCCCGACAACGCTGTAGCATCGTTCATAACACTAACCTAATTTCCCCTGTGCTTCTTTAGCGTACTCCTTCAGAAGCAGACTAAGCTGCATCAGTGCATCCCCCACAATTCGAGCCACCGTTCACCATGTGCGTGAGAGCCACTCAATGCTGTTAATGAGATTTCTCTTACCGTGAAGTGTGACGCCGAGTTTGATGCTCCATAAGCCGAGTTTGCTGCGATATGTTCACTCGCGTTCACACGATGTTTTGGGTGTGAATCTAGCAATGGAATCTGACTGAAGAGGGGCAGGTGTATAGGAAAAATAAGTGCTTTCAGCATATGGCTGTGCAGTCATAGGGGCAGGTCTGTGTCTTGGATGAGAGACCTTAGGTCAGACCTCTAGTAAGCAATCCATCCTCCAGAGTGTATATGCAATTTCCAGATCTCATAAGCATTGTAAGGAAAATTCATTTTCCTTACTTCGCATCCCTGCTCAACGCGTACATCACTGTAGCACCACAGTCAGCACCGTTACCACTCGCAACCCTCGCATCGACAATCCTCCCGCCACCTTCGCACATCGCACCCCGACCTCACGGCTCGGCGGGTAACCCGCGCTCCGGGCCTCCGCTTCAACACTTTTCCCAACCTCAGTCCCAGGCCCATCACGCGGCAACCACAGTCCATTACCGTTACCACTGTAGTTTCGCTAAATATTCTTCGCTCATTCCTTCGCTCATTGTACTCTTGCTTCGATAGTACAATTCTCGTTCGTTCACTAAATTGCACTCGTAACACTTGGTATTCAGAGCCTACGATCTCTTCTCGGACCGCACCCACACCTTCGCTCCCCCACTATCTCAATTTATGGGGGCGGGGGTAGACGTCTCTCAGCGACACAGCACCGCCGCTCGTAGTGCTCTCTCGTAAGCACGCACGGCCACGACCGAGGCTCTCGCTGAGCTCGCCCGACACCCCCGCCATGGCCGAATTCACGCTCGCCACATTGACGCAGGAGCAGCTCGACCGTCTGGTACGCCAACTCGAAGATTCGACGCTCGAGATTGCGACGCTCACGGCGGAACGTGACTCTGCGCGTCAGCAATCAACGATGAACACTCCAGCGCCACCACACGCACTGACAAATGCATCTGCACCATCGGACGAGCCGATCGCCATCTCGTCCGGCACACCAACACAAAACAACAACGTGGGACAGCGCTCAGGCGCAGCCAGCGATGGCGCCGCCCAGCCGATGCCTGGCATGGGAGGAAACAGGGTCGCACCAAGCCTGCGGGAGCCTCGCGAAGCCCGTCGGCACGTGGAGTTCGAGGCGACAAGTGGCGAACATGTCATTATGGCACCAATGCCACTCAAGCCGCAACGCCCGCCCTGCTTCGACCCGAGCCAGCGTGGAGGTCAGACAGTTCAATCGTGGGTCTTCACGATGAACGTCTTCTTCGACGCGAATTACGTCGAACCGGACGCAGCGAAGATTCGGTATGCCGTTTCGCTGCTAAGGGGCCTCGCCATGGACTGGTGGCGAGTCATCGTGACGTCGCCACGCGCCTACGAGCCACCGTCGCAAGAGGAAGAGCCCACGGGTCCAGCTGTCACCTGGAGTTCATTCTGCGAGACCGCCCAATACAACACGTGGGATGCGTGGTGCGCAGGGCTTCGGGCGCGCTTCGAGCTGATCGCGGCTTCTATTTCGGCGCGTCAGAGATTGCGCACTTTGCGGCAGCTCGGATCGGTTCAAGACTATACGAGTGGTTTTCTCGCATTATGCGAGCAAGTCGGCTACATGCACGAAGCCGAGCGGGTGGACCGTTACGTCGGAGGGCTGAAGCCGGACATCTCACACGAAATCATGCTATGCGGGCTCTCGAACTTCAACGAGATTCTCGCGCTTGCCGAGAAAATCAACATTTTACGCCGTCTGAGACCAGGGTCCTACTATGGACATTGTCCTCGGGGACCGATCGAGCACGCCACTATACACGCTGTTGCGACAAATGCAGCTGCCGCGCCGTTTAAGGGGCGCTGCTTTGCTTGCAATAGGCCGGGCTATCGCAAGAGCGAATGCCCAGAGGAGCTAAGGCGCCGCGGAGCAGAGCAGGGGAGGGAGTCTCCAAGGCAGGGAAACGCCAGCAGTTCGTAGGAATCGGGCCAACTACTGACGAGACTGCCTGCTCGCCCAACCCCACCGACCCTCACCGAGTCACAGTACCGATTCATGCTATTGATCGGACTCGGACGAATAAGGAGGGTACAGCGACGGATTGCCCAGTACTGATCCACGGGAAAATACAGGGAGCAGCAGTGAAGATTTTTATCGACGGAGGAGCAAGCCACAGTTTAGTTAATACCGCAACCGCACGAAAACTGCAACTGACACTTAGCCGTTGCTTACTGGAGATAGACGCACGCTTAGTCGACGGCACGCCACTGGCCATACGGGAAAAGGTAGAGAGAGTCAAAGTCCGCTGCGGGGGGAATTTCGGGTTTACACAGGAAATGCTCGCAACGACACTGGATGGGCATGATATTTTACTGGGACGTGATTGGCTGCGACAGTATAACCCGCGAATTGACTGGACAACGGGTAGCTGCACCGTGCGAAGTAGCGGTAACTGGGTCGAGCTACCTCGCTGGCAGTCGCCCGAGTCTTCAACGGTACACGTCAACGCCGTCACAATGAAACGGGCTGTCAATGCTGGAGCTGACGTGTACGTAGTAAACATCGCAGTAGTAGAGGGAGCAGAGCAGCCGAGTGATTTCAGGAAACTGCTGGCAGCAGTACCGCCCCAACTACAGGAACTGTTGAAACGATACCCCGGGATTTTCCCCGACGACTTACCGAAAGGACTGCCACCTCAGCGAGCACATGACCACCGAATTGAATTAGAACCGGGGGCACAGCCAACTGTAGAGCGCTAGTTCAGACCGACACAGCCCGAGCTCGATGAACTAAGGAAGCAGTTAGATTACCTGTTAGAGAAAAATTCATACGACCGAGCTCGTCACCGTTTGCCGCACCGATACTGTTCACATTGAAAAAAGACGGGGGTTTTCGCATGTGTATCGACTACAGAGCACTGAACAGGGTAACAGTCAAGTCGCGGTACCCCATTCACCGCGCCGACGAACTGATCGACCAACTGCGAACAGCACGGGTTTTTTCGAAGATAGATTTACGGGGAGGTTACCATCAGGTTAGGGTCGAACCATCGGACTGCGCCAAAACAGCTTTCAGGACTAGGTACCGGTCGTTCGAGTACACGGTGATGCCATTTGGGCTGACCAACGCACCGGCGACTTTTCAGATGACCATGAACGAGGCA